TTCGTGATACGGAGAGAGAGGATTTTCGATATTATCCATCACATTTTCTTCCAGTTCAGGAATTTCCGCAAAACGATCTTGTAGCCAAGTCTCCAAGGGTCGTTGTTTATTTTCTTTTCTTACTTCTGACGACCTTTTATGCTTTCCTGGCGGCCGTTATTGATTTTCTTTCTACCGTGGCATCACTCCGGATTCTGTCCCTGGTCATTCTCAGTTCACCAATAGGTTACTTTTCTTCTGCCGTTTCTTGCAACTCTGCATTGTATGGCGAACGAAGCTTCTGGCGTCTCCTCCACCAATGTTTCTCGTTATCCTCTCACCAAACACCTCAAGAAAAATATCCCGATTAAGTTTGTTTGTGGACCATTTGCGAGTAGACTATCTTCCGGAGTTTCTGTTTGGTCTGTTGCCTGACTCGACGGTGAACCAGATGTATTGGTGGTCGCTGCCCGTGTAGTCCTCAAGAATTAACCATCCCTTTAGCGTGCCAGCAATACTCTCTGACACTAACGTGATGTCTAGATTTGTGCCTTCACATACTGGTGTGCGAAAGGTGGGAGCCATCACTCTGTTTGCGGCAGACCCAATCAGGCCGCCATGTCAAGCACTCGCCTACCTCTGGGACTTGTGGTCGTCATGTCCCGTTCAATAACCTTTGAATTGAAGTCACCTGCTATGATGAAGTTGCCACACATTTGGAGGGCACGTCTAATTTTGTCTAGAATTGACCAATGCTGTCGCTAAGTGTAAGGTAATACCTCATTAAGGTAAAGTTGCGGACTCACACCCAAACGTGTCTGTTCCCGACACCGCTGGCCGAGAATAAGAAGTTCTCAGCGCATGGGAGCCAAATGGCTGCTGTTCTACTGCTGTCAGCTAAGAAGGTGCCGCTGCTGATTTCTTCATACTGTTCGCTGATTATGAAAACATCCACGTTCCACTCAAGCATGAGTTGTGATATAAGAGCGTCTGCTGTCCTGCTTCGGTGCATATTTGCTTGCAAAAATCTCGTCATTTCTGGGCCTTTACCGATGCACATTTGTCTGATACAGCAATATAGTCGACGGTTTTGAGACCAGCGTTAGTACATACGCAGCAGTTCGGAGAATTTGCGCACTCCTTTAGCTTGTGTTCAGATTCGCCAATTTTGATGCAGAGAATTGTTCTGTCTGGACCCTTGCAGTTCCTCTGCATATGACCCACGGTAAGGCACCCGAAGCAACGCTTAATTCCAGTGCGTGTCCGCATTTTTGCTCTAATCGTGATCGAGCCTGTCTCGAGAAGCTGCTGCGGTGGGGTGTTATTTGGTTTGGTGACCGTGACTTTCAAACGATCGATTCCGCTCGGATGGAGTCATTTAACTGCTTAAGTCTAATTTGTAATTTTCAAGAATTTTTGCAGCTTGACCCAGTTTATCTGCGCTATACAGCGTTTTTACATTATAGATTCCAAATCGTAATCCATTTTCTATGCGGTTATTCATCGTCAAGTTTGGGTTTAGGTTTTTATTTCTTATATATGTATTTCTTATAGCCTCTTAGAGTCATTGTTTTTACAATAAAAGACTGTAAGCTATATTAGACTCGTAATTTTTTTATATGTAACATAACTGAAGATATGAATGTGGAAGACATATGATCTCAACAGGACCGTAATTCTAATTTGTTGCTTAAAGAAGTTACTAAAAGTAAACCAGGACTATTTTTCTGGGATTGCGAAATATATCGTATTTATCCAGATATTACTCAAATTCTTAATCAATAACTGAAAACGAATATTCATAAATTTATTGCTGAGCTATTAATTACTAGTGCAATCAAAGATTTGAGAAGTCAAGTGAATAACACTTCAATGATGCTATCTGCTACACCTTATCTCAAGTTCTTAGAAATTTACTGAACTAGAAAAATAATAAACCGTCAACCACTGTTGTAGGTTACTCATATAACTCCCATATCTACAAAACGGGTGATTTCGTACAATCGAATGGCTTGAGCTTTAGTAAAACGGAATAAAAAGTAATCAAATTGTATGGACTAGAATAACAATAAATGAGGTTGAAAGATTTATGACTAATTAAAACAGAATTAAATCAGATCGAATAAAGAATAATGGACAATTGTGGGCTCCATAATTACGAAAGTATGCTCTAATCATACAAATAAATTAATTCTTTACATCAAATAAGCTCTTTAAATGAAATGGAATACAATGCAATAGAGTTTTGACGAGGTCTGATAATTTTTCAAGCTACTTCACTATTTTAAAATTAAGAAAGACTATATAAAAATAAAATAAGATTCAATTCAGAGAGGAAATAGAGTAAAGAATGCAAAACTTTTGGAATATTCCAAAATTTCTGCATTCAAGAAGTTCGTTGTGATACCATAAGTTATAATCTATTAATTCGAATAAGATACAGAAAGCAAAAAAATAGACTTTTTTCAAATACCTTGAAGATGAAGGGAGAGAAATGAAGAGGGTTGGAATGTTAAAAAAATAAAATAAAACCAAATAGATTAGAAGATGTGAAGAAATAATTAAGAACCCAGTAACTAAGATGTGATACTTTTAGCATAATTGTCGTATTAAATGAGTCATTGCAATGAAATGGAAAGAATTGTCCATTTTTAGATTTTCTGCAGTTTAGCTTTGAATCATAAGTGAAAGTAAGGAATATATTTGTTTCCTTCACTTATCGTTTTTTTAGTCTCCTTTTATTAAAAATAATTAATAATATATTAAAAATAGGAAATGAAATATTTAAAGTATTTTGTTCGAATCTAGTGGCATTGAAATTTTGTATACCATATAATTTGATATATGAAATCAAAAAATTTATTCTTTTATCACATTTTCTTATTGTATTGAATAAACTTCAAAATTCGTGTGATAAATTATAAGCGTTCAAGAGAAGAAAGTTTTACATTAATTATAATTTTTTTGGATTTGTAGTGCTTTCGAAATTAATTACCTAAATTTTTTATGTCAATTCGATCTTAGGAGCCGCTTTACTGAACTCATGGCGAGTGCAACTGAGAAAGAGTCACCAATAATGATGAAAATGTCATCTCAAACCGACGTTAGTTTCTAATATATATACCACATATAATTTTTATATTATCTAATTTGTTGAAATCCTGTCTTTATATTAATCACCAATTTTCTTGAAAGGATACTACACTTAATGAACTGCTATTTGAATATGGAGACGCAAGGATTTCAACTGATGATAAAAATGATTTTGTGCTTCCCACATTAGTAGATGAAAAGCGTCTCAAAAACGCGCTCAGATCAACTGACTTAGTGGCACACAGATATTGTACTATATCCGAGGTATTGCAATATATAATTACTAATTTTAAATTTTTATTTTTACCTGTGCATCAAAGTATTCGAGCATTATGATGCTCTATCAGCTTCAGTATACTCGAGTTCGAACAAACTCGTATTCAAGGTACTTCGAGTACAAGAATACTCGAATACACAAATTCTCGATGCTTCGATCAGCACGAATAATATTTGAAGTTCTTATCAATAATCTCATTAATGAGGTATGTTTAGTCCGCTAACTCAGAGTCAAATATGTGTGATCATGCAAGAGTACAACAAATGCGTTGCCAGCTCATTCGGTCGCATTTTAGAAAACTGAAGGACAAATCAAGAAATGATTATGTTGATTTTTGTGTTAAGGCACTAAAGAAACAATATCAAGAATACTGTGAATTAAATCCCACGATAGAAATACCTGAGTTTGCAATAGCAGAACGTAACAGGAAGAAACAACAACGCGAAAAGGTTCGACACGAATTAATGACTTTCATTAATAAAGCAAGTAAAGAGGAGAATTGTTTGAATATGTACTTCTCAGAATAGGTCATTTGCACCTTACTTTACAGGAGTTGTATCACAAGCAAATGTATGCTATGAAAACAGTCCAATAAGTGTGAAGGAATGGAACAGTTCCCGGAGTTTCATTCAATCAAATTCCTATATAGAACTTGGTAAGGTTGAAAATTTGAACTATGTCACCATATACCATATATGTCACTATATATCACCATATATGTACAGTAGACTGGCCATAAGTTGTATGGGAAAAATTTTTTTTTTGATTTTTATATGTTTCTGCTTGTTAAAATATTCCTTTTGATGATAAATTAAGGAAAATAAAATTTCAGATCGATCGCATTGTGCCAACCCGTGCCGAGTTGAGCTCAAAGTTGTAAAAGTACCTCAATATAGAAAAAGTCATCAAAATTACTACTTTGCTCGTAAAATATATTACTAACAGTTTTATTTCAGGAATATTTTTGACTAATTTACATTATTTAAATGTTTTTACGTTATGATATTGAATTCACTTACGTCTGTTTATATTTCCTACATAATTTTTGATACGAAGTAAAAATTGCAACACTGACATGAATTTCGTATTACGAAAGCTGAGTAGTAACATTGCTGTTATAGTTGTTTATTGACTGTCAAATTGACAATGAGAAAAATCTTTAACGATAATTGATCATTTAAGTTGCAAAAATTAATCTGAATTGATATGGATTCCGTTTCATCTTTGCAATCAAAATCATCTCTAAAGCGGCTTAGATCCGATGATGATAATATATGGTATTTTTAATAGGAAAATGTGAAAGCGAAGTCTTTGGAGCAAACTTGCCGTCAATGAAGTAAGTATGTTACTTCAACTGCTTTTCTATAAAATTCGTGTTGAACACAAGACCTTGAAACAAAGTTTTAGAAATGTGATTGATTCCGTATTACCATTTTGGCAAAAGGCTCGTATTCCTACTCTAACTGAATCTAATTGCCAAAGAAAATTACAAAAATTGTACGATGAGTGGAGGTTATTACAAAAAAGTAGCAAATCTCCACACGAAAAATGCCGAATCAGAGAAAAAGAGTTCCGTGAAAAGATAGAACATTTTATATTCGATATCGCAGTACCTACTGCTGTTAAAACAATGAATATTCAAGATGATAAAGATTTCTTGATTCAACAAAGAAAGAAAGACCGACCAGGAAGCATAGCAGACATTGATAAAAAATTATCACAAAAAGAAAAGCGCAAGTTAGAACTATTGGAGAAACTTGATAAGCGTAAACAGCAATATATGCAAGATTTATGTGCAAGTGTTCCAGGTAATAACATATAAGAATCAATGATTGACGTCTCTTTATTTGTTTCCAATAATCATACATGAAAGTATATTTTTCGAATAGCAGCGACAGATTCTAGACTCGATATTGAGCATAGCAATAATAGTGAAGATTTTATGGAATATCCATCGTCCTCGGAAGTAGCAATAGAAGAAAATATTATAATTGGAAAAATACATTTCTTTGATGATAGAATGCTTGCTTGCATGGATAAATCTAAAATTTCTACTAGAGATGCGATTCATTTCATAAGTGCAACAGCAGCTGCTTTAGGTCATCGCGTAGAAGATCTTGTTTTGAATCGTACAACTGTCCACCTGATAAGAAAAGAATACCGACGCAGAAAAGCGCATGATATTTTGAAGAATTTCGATGTAAATTAGTTAAAGTTTTTACTTTTTAAGTTTTATTTAAGATATTTAATTGCAGATCCCTCAAGTTTTTGTATTCCATTGGGATGGAAAACTTCTACCAAAAATGAAGGGTAAAAAAAAGGTTGATCGACTTGCTCTTGTCGTCACAGGAGAAAAAACCGAAAATATACTTGGTATTTCGAAACTAGATAACAGCACTGGTAACAAAATCGCACATGCAATTCATCAATTTTTAATTACTTGGGAATTAAACAACTTAGTTGAATTTATTTGCCTTGATACAACAAGTTCTAATACTGGTATTCAAAAGGGTGCCGCCTTTTTGCTCGAGCAGAAATTGGGGCGTGAATTACTTTTTCTCCATGCTGCCATCATATCAACGAAATATTTCTAAAAGCTGTTTTTGAACTGAATTTTGGTACCTCATCGGCTCCAGAAATTTAAATTTTTAAGCGTTTTGCTGACGGCAAAAGAATTAAACGCCATACGCAATATTTGTATTTTTCTAACTCGCTATTACATACAGTATTGGTTAACATGCCAGCACGCAATTGAAGCGCCACGTAGGGATTTACAACTAATTAAAGATGCAATCCAGTATTTTGATAAACGAATTTCAGCGGTTTTATTAGAAAAATTCAAAAATCACTTGTGGTATTTGTCAGAAGAAGCAGTTGGCTCAGCATTTTTCGACTCTAAAGTTCCACTGGATACTAAAGGAAAGATGATTAAGGCTTTGGAAAAAACTAAAGATGACGATATTCCATGTTCAAAAATTCGAAACGACAATCGAAGACATAATGAAGCTCGAAGATAAGGATCTCAGCTATCTTGTTACTTGTAAGACGAAACGATTTTTTCTTCGATTGGAAATTAGCTCCGATTTTTTAAAGTACGATCCGTCATCATGGGGTGAAAGAGGTGATTATTCTTCTGGCCTGCAAATTTGTAAAAACCTGACAGTTGTAAACGATCCAGCAGAAAGAGCTGTTAAGTTAATCACTGACTTCAACCGAGCCTTAACATATGACGAAAAAGACAAACAGTATTTATAGCAAGTTGTTGAATATTATCGACACATGTATCCATCTCATACTAAATCGTCACTACTAAGCCGAAAACATGAAAAATTTTAAAAACTATAACAGTAAAACAAACAAAATAGAGTATAATTAGGTGAAAACATATAAATAATGTAAATTAGTCAAAAATATTCCTGAAATAAAACTGTTAGTAATATATTTTACGAGCAAAGTAGTAATTTTGATGACTTTTTCTATATTGAGGTACTTTTACAACTTTGAGCTCAACTCGGCACGGGTTGGCACAATGCGATCGATCTGAAATTTTATTTTCCTTAATTTATCATCAAAAGGAATATTTTAACAAGCAGAAACATATGAAAATCAAAAAAAAATTTTTTGCGGCCACTCTAATGTACAGTCCTAGTCAAAAGTATTTGCACAACGAACATTTTTGGGCATATTGCAATAAAACATGTTTTTATTGTTGGACGTAAGTAGCAAACAATTTTTTTTGTCATTTAGTTCTATCTATGCAGAACCAAAAAAAAGACAAGAAATTGGAAAGATAAGTGTCCATTTGACAAAAATATAAGCAAATGCACTGATGCTCATTAGTTGTCAAAAGTATTTACCCTCATTTTTTTCGCGTTAAAAGTATTTACACAAAACATTAATTTCATTTTCTTCTTCTTAGTTAATGAATTCTTTTAAAAGTTTTTTGTACTTATTTAATTACTATTATTATTATTTAGTTTCACCTCCTTTGGTATCAATAACCGTCCGCAACCTACCTGGAATTTATTCAATCAAGTTGCAAATCAATTTGGACGGAATATCACCTATTTCAATTATGGTGTCATTATGTTTTGGATTTTTATCAATAGTTATTTGTTGTTTTATGAAGTCCCAAACATTTTCAATGACATCAAGGTCAGGGCTATGTGAAGGTCATAAAAGAACAGCATTATTTAACTCTTTTTAAAATTGGTTTGGTCTGCATTCATTATAACATGGTGCATTATCATATTGTAGAATCCAGTTTTTGGTTGGAAATAGTCGATTTTTTAATCTAAAGGCATTGTTATTTAAAATACCAATATAACCGGACTGATTTATGGTGCCAAATGTCGGTACCAAAACTCCAAAACTATAGCATTATAGACATCTCCAAAACACCACCGTGCCACCTTCAAATCTATTAAATAGCTTCACTGCTTTATTCTTTTGGCGTTGTCGTTAATGCATGTAATGCTTACCAAACGAACCCTAGAATTGAAATGCAGACTCATCTGTACATAACACACTGCACCAAAATTGTATAAGTTGCTTAAAATACGTCAAAGCATAGGAGACAATTTGATAGGGTCGTTTGAGTAATATTGACTATTTTCTGCACCACATAGGCATTTAAATTAGCATCTTACAACCTGTGATGTAGTGCAGCATCACTAATAATCTTGTCAATCAACTTTTTCGATGATGCTGCAATTTTGACAGGACTTATTGTAGGATTTTCTATGTCTGCTCCTACGACTTTTTAAATAGATTTTACTCCGCTTCAGATGAAATTTTGTAAGACTTTATTAAGTCCATCGCCGAAATACCACTCCTATTTTAGGTACTAACCTCAGATAGAATTTCAACTGATAATTCCATGGTTTTTATCATTTTCTTGAAAAATTTCTAAAATTTTGAAATTTGTGTAGTTTTTGACAAAAGCTAACAACTGCACTTATTAAAGGGAATCGTGGAATAAATGCTAATTAATGTTTTGTGTAAATACTTTGGACGCGAAAAAAATGTGTGTATATACTTTTGACAACTAATGAGCATCAGTGGATTTGCTTATATTTTTGTCAAATGAACAGTCTTTCCAATTCTTTTTTATTTTTGGTTCTGCATAGATAAAACTAAGTGATACCAATGACATCTACATCTTTACCGATGGCAGAGCTGGTGCTGGGATTTACTCGCATGAGTTAAACCTAACGTGCACTCTACATCTAGGAATGTATGTTTCCGTCTATCAGGTGGAACTTATGGCCGTATCACATGCTGTGGATCATCTATTTGATTGTCAGGCGTATTAGAAAAAGATTCTGATAGCGCAGGACAATCAAACAGTTATCAAAAGCATGCAAAAGACATACATAGCTAACAGCTTAGTTCAAAAACGTGTAACCAAGCTCATGGAATGTGTTCATGGAAATGAGGTAACGGTCATGTGGGTTAAGGGACATGTCAATATTGAGCAAAACGAGAAAGCAGATGAACTTGCAAATCAAGGATCAAGCCATAACCAGGGTTACAACATGATGACAGCCCATGTCTATAAATGGATAACCTCACTTCATCTCAATAGATGGAGAGAGTTGAGCACTTCTAGACAGATCAAACTCATGTTGCCGAAACCGTGGGTCAGGGAATCGATAAAAGTGCTTAGCTATCCGCGGAGCACCCTAAGCTGGCTGACCTCACTAATTGCTCGACATGGCAACTTCAAGTATCACCTCAAACAGATAACTCTTGCTGAGAAAGATACTTGGAGACTATGTCCAGAAGAAAAGGAGACAGCGGTGCATATATTGTGGCTATGAGCAGCACTAACAAGCAGGAGAAAGACTGTCTTGTAACACCATTGGGTTGGTGAAGAATTGGCAGGCAACCTCCAGCTAAATGAGCTGCTTGCATTAACAAGAGATGTAGTTATGCAAACGGAAGCCACTCCAGCTTTAATTCAATAACGACATCTGAGAATAGAAGGACGAAAAAGGATCCAAGTAATTTCGTGGTCTACTTCGGCTAATCATTCACTTCAGTGGGGCCACTTGGTGAACGGTACGCCGTCTCACCATATATATATATATAAGTGATACAAAAAATTTTTTTCGCAACTTAACATATCTCCAACAACAATAGCAAATCTGCTTTATTGCAATATGCCCAAAAATTTTCGTTATGTAAATACTTTTGACTAGGACTGTAAATGACTCTGCACTGTAGTAAGTTAAGTAATAGCAGTTTTCAGGAATTAATAAAATTTAAATGTTTAAAGCTGAATACATTATAATATGACATCATGACATGTGTAATACTTCAAAATATTAAGTATTATTAATCTATCTATGTTATATACATATACCAATTATTAATAAAGTTTGAAAGGATTTTCTTAACATCGGGATTAGTTTCAGAATTCATGTTTATGAAATAATAAATCAAAATTTGGACGGGAACGAAAAAGGATATGAAATAATTGAATATGAAATAACATTCCAAAATTAAGTATTAATATATTTTTTTGAATATATTTAGATAATTTTAAAGGCGCATTTAAAAAATTTTTTTTCTAAAATCTTAATGGTATTCATAGGGAATATATGAACATAAAAAAGGAATGCGAATAAAAATTGTAAGAAGTTGCGTTTAAATCGTAGCCGAAGAAATTTATTTGCCTCGTACGTCAAAAATTAACTAATATTATTTACATATTATAAATATATTTTATTGTATGTATAATATGTGTATAATATTATTATATGTATAATATATATTATATATTATAAATAATATCCGGTGCATTTAAACTAAAAAACACGCCTAACTGTATTGTCCTAACTATATTTGTGTGAATTGGAAGCATTGAACTCTACAAATACGAGGGAACAAATATTGTATTACCCTAACGTAGTTCCCTGTGATCAAGTCTTCTGAAATTACCACATCCAGGATGGCATTTTGATCGATTGCAAGCATATGGAATAATTCTGTGAATCATTTAAAAACCACACTTAATTAGTTTATGAGACATGTATGAAGGATTAGGTTGGCTGTTGCGTAGTTGAACTCAACTCGGTGGCAACTGCTCGTTTGGAAGTGTTTTTTGACAGATGATTTCTTTTTGTGCTTATTTGAGTAATTCCAACTTTTTATTACCCAAAATATAAATAATTTGGGACTAGATTGAAACATTTAAAAAAGTTAAGAAATCTGAAATATCTTTTAAAGCAATTCCTTAAGACTATAACACTCATGTATACTCAATTATATAATGACCTCCTCACAGATAGCATTTAATAACTTCATTTGAGAAATAATTTATAATTAATTATAGAATAATTCTTATATAGCATATTCTTTTCATTAATTGAATGTAAAAATTTGGTGATAAATCATTATTATGTGTCTTAAATAATAATTTTGACAGTTACCGCTTTTCAATTGCAACATCAAGCAGCTTAATAAAGAAATTTCTGAAGAACCCCAATAATGTAAGGGAAATAATCCGTCGTTGTATAAACGTCTTCACTATATATAAATGATGTATTTGACATACTTAAGAAGATTTGAAGATACATACTACTTTTAACCGGTTTGATTTCCTATACCTCAAAGAGTCAATTGATAGACATTTTTCAGCCCTACCTCATCCAGAATGTTTTTGCATTTGAAAGGTCTTCGTAACAAAATGAAGTTCAGGCATAAACTTTCGAATTCATCAGTATATGATGAATCCGTGTTTTCAACAAATAAGAAGTAAAGTTGTGGTAGCCATAGGCATTCGTTCAACGAGAATAAACAGAATTTAAAATAATATGACAAATTGGCAGTGGAAAAGATTTGTTCCCATTAGACTTCAAATAATTTGATTTAGATCAAACCGATTTAGGTCTGTTTCTACAGAGAAAGACTCAAAAAATACAACAATGGTGATTCATGGAACGTGAAGGCGATGCATTTTCAAAGACTTGTCTTTAAATCTTACTTGGATTTCTGAGGAAACCATTTAAAAAAAACAACATCTTATACAGCACTTGTATGCAACGTTATTTTTTGAATATTGTAAATATCAATAAATTTCTGTTTATCTTCAACAGCATCACCTGCAGTTCCCACATAGATAGCCTAAGGAAGAAAATAGTATTTTCGACAACTATAGCTTGTTATTTTAATGTTAAACGGAAGTGAAATCCCCAAAAAGACAATTCCGGAAGTGCGAAAACAAATAATATTAGTAAAGATAGAGCACTAACGAATATACTCCCTGGTAATAGACTTTCAGTACTAACTGAATGCATACAGCCCAAACACCCTCATTTGATAGCAACAGAACTTTTTTATTTTAAACAAAGAAAATAAGCAAGAAACCAAAATCCTATTTAACACCGTACATAAAAGAAGGTCACAATAAAGCATTTCCATAATAATTAAAACAATTTTTATATATAGCAACTGAAGCTATATGCATTTATAAATTGAGTTAAAAATATTGTCAACAAAAATATAACCTCACAACCAACGTCTAAGGTCAAACTTGTATCTGTAGCCTCTATTCTTTCAAAAACACGAATAATAATCTGTAATACTTAGTCCAAAGTTGAATTTATTTCTGAGATATCACTAAATCTGATGAAGAACAAGCCCCCCTAGCACTTGTCTTAACGAAATAGTCAAAACTCAAAGCCATACAATGCAATTGTTTTTAACAAATAAATGGGGACTTCAAAAATTTACACAAATATAATGTAAATTTCATAAACCAACATAAATAAGGAGGACTTATAAAATTTATGTCAGATGATGAGTAAAAAACAAGGTAAAAAAAATGATTCTCTTTTTCTTGCTAGTTATTCTACAAAATCAATCACACAGAAGGAAGAACACGTACAACTATATTCACCAACTGGTTTTGCAGATGAATGAGGATTATGGAGCATAGTTATGTAGAGCTTAGATTTATAGAGCTATTCTGAATAAATTTATATGATTTATTTTTCTAATTCCAATTCAATCTTTTGATAGAATAAAATATTCGTTAAAATTGTTAACTGATTCATTAATAACATATCAATGAAGTTGGTATTAGTAAGAAATTAATGAATCTTCAATCTTTAATTATTATTGATTCACGTATTTATATGTTCCGCATTATTGTCATCAATAAATTCATTATTGGCGGCAATTTCAACGCTAAACATGTCCATTGGGGTTCGCGATTAACTACAACTAAGCCCAACATATTGGCCAACTGACCCAGCGAAAATACCGGATCTGATTGACTTTTTTATAACTAAAAAAATACCGAAAGAACTCTTACAAATAGAAAATGGATACGATCTCTCTTCTGATCATTCACCTGTGCACCTCTCTATTAATAAAAGTGTAGTCATAAATGAACCGAAGCCTTACCTAATAAATAGATCTACTGACTGGGATTACTTTAGGTTGAACCTTGAAAACACTCTTAATCTTAACTCTGATCTAAACTCAGCGACTGAAGTGGATAACGAAGTTCTTCTATTTACACAGCAGATTCAAAAATCAGCATGGATGAGTACTTCTCAGTTCTCTAAACACCAGATTAGACCAACTCTTCCAAAAGAAATAAATAAACTAATATGGGAAAAAAGGAAATTGCGTAAAAAATGGCAACAAACACGATCACCAACTGATAAAACGGAATTAAATAGGAAAACTGCACAACTATGAAAACTTATCAATAATGTTAAAAACGATAAGATACAATAGAATCTTAGAAGCCTTTCCTATGAGAAACACACAGATTACTCGCTGTGGAATCCTCCTATTAAAGCAGATGGCACATCATGGGCCAAAAGTGGCGAAGAAAAAGCAGATTTATTCGCAAAATTTCTTAAGGCAACATTTACACTAAATGATGATGGAAATAATCTTCCTACGTCTAATTTAAATCCATTAAACGAAGAAATGCAACCAACTTCGCCAAGGGAAATAAAAAATGAAATAAGAAATATGAAACTAAAAAAGGCTCCTGGTTGGAATCAGATAACCGCTGAGATCGTAAACCAATTCCCTAACAAAGGAATAATCAAACTATGCAAGATAATTAATGCAGCTCTGCGCTTAAGACACTTCCCAATTTATTGGAAAGTGGCGGAAGTACTTATGGTACACAAACAAGGAAAACTTAGAAGGTTTTCGTCGTATCGTCCAATTTCTTTATTACCCGTTTTATCAAAAATCTTTGAACGAATTTTCCTTAATAGAATACAGATTGTTTTCACAGAAAATCAAATAGTTCCGAGTCATCAGTTTGAGTTCCAAAAAAAGCATTCTACTGTAGAACAAATACACAGAATATACGACAAAATCGAAACGGCACTTGAAGAACAAAAAATTTGCACTGCAGTTTTCCTAGACGTATCGAAAGTCTTTGATAAAGTTTGGCACAAAGGACTTGTGCATAAGATTGAATAGTGGTTTTCGAGACAAATATCCGAAAGGATGTGGTCCTACTTATCTTGCTGATTCTTCAGAGTGAAATATAAAGGTGCGTACTCAACACTTGAACCAATTGAAGCCGGAGTACCACAGGAAAGTATACTTGGCCCAATTCTGTACCTAATTTACACAGCCGACCTACAAGTCCCACCAGAAAGTGTTATTGCCACGTTTGCAGATGATACAGCGATACTTACCACTGGAAACACCATAAACGAATCAACAGAAGCAACGCAACATTCCATTGATCAAATTATTAGTTGGACTAAAAAATGGAAAATTGAGCTCAACCAAACGAAATCCGTCCATGTAAATTTCACAAACAAAAAAATTGACTATTTGCCGATAACTATGTGCAGTGCTCGAATACTATACTCAAATACAGCTAAATACCTTGGCATGAACTTAGATGCTAAGTTGAAATGGAAAGAACATATAAAGAAAAAATGAGTTGAATTAGAATCCAAACACAAAAATTTATATTGGCTTCTTGGGAACAAATCACCCGTCTCTCTAAACAATAAATTAATGATATACAAGCAAGTTTTAGCTCCGGTGTGGACGTACGGAATCCAGTTATGGGGATGTGCACCAAAATCCACCATTCAAATCATTCAAAACTTTCAAAACAAATTTTTGAGAAACTTACTCAACGCTCCGTGGTTTATTAAGAATACTGACCTGCATCGGGACTTGAAGATCGAATCTGTGGCTGCAGTAATCCAGAAGTTCGCGGTAAAGCACCAAAAACGATTACAACAGCATCCAAACGAGACAGTCAACAATGTGTCTAATACATCTGGCCTGCTGAGAAGACTTAAACGAACAAAGCCTTCGGATCTACTCCCGAATTAGTAGTCTAATAATAATTTAGATTAGTACTATTAAGACTAAGTCTTTGACAACTTCACAATTCTAGTAAGTATTCTGTAATGTAACAAAACTGCTTGATAGTTCTTTGTATGAACTAGTCATAGTCAAATGAAACATGTATTTATATTATTGTACATATTGTGTTTCAAATAATAAAAAAAAAAAAAATTATTGTCATTATTTGACTAAACCCTTCGGACCTTATCTAACTATGTCATATTTAGTATAAATCTGCATCTGATGTCTTCACATACAGAATGTAGATTATCAAATTCTTCTATTGCACAAATTTAAAATATTCGGTTTCTATTAAAATCACATAAGGTGCTTTTGTTACAAATAATTCTGTAATCAACGCAAAAGTTCGTATTATGATATTTGATATTACTACAACAAATAGCGCGTTAGACTCACAAAATGGGAGAAAATTTAAATCAAATCATCTCCTCTAAATAAAAAGCATTTGAGTTTTTGGTGACGTGAAAAATGACGCACATTATTTTTATTATTTTTCCTATTACTAAATTCTAATTAAAAACGAACATATCTTGCACAATACACAGCCAGTCACATCACTCTGTTCACTCTATTAGAACACCGCATCTAAGATTCGATAGTTTCTCCATATTCGCCTTCTTCTGCGTCTTTCCCAAATACGAATCCCTTAAAACCACTCCATATCAGCTTGGAGAACAGAAAAATAGCAACGAGGTTCGTTGTTTCTTCATCTTGCAATAATGCTGATGTGGCATTCCGCATTGTAGCTATTAAAGGAACAATAAAGGAATATTTGTGTTTAGTGGAGCTTTTAAAGAAAGAAAACAGAAATCCGTAACATTATTTTCAAAGTATCGTGCTTTGATTTTCTAAAAGAAAACAGCCGTTCTATGTCGAGAACTATCAAAATGAATTCAAAATTCAATTTTAACTGATCCTCATATATGAAAACAATGTCAAAAATTGGTGAGTGAAGTGAGCAAAATCTGTGCCACTGAAACCCATAGATTGTAGACTTACTTTAATCGTCCCAGTTTTAGCGTTTGTGAAGTTTAAACACAAGTTTTAAGAATCTAAGTAATTTCTAGTACTAGCATCTGCAAATAGGAATACAGCCCCAAAAGTATTTATGAATTTGGGATTTTAAGTAGAGTTATAGTTTTCTGACACAAAATTCCAATGAAAAATGTTAACTGTGATGGTCCACCAAAAAAATTTTATTTTTAATGAATGAAATGAAATGTGCAGTTGCTTCAGTAGTCCTTGAAAGTACTTCTATTGTTTAAATAATTACAAATAATTTTTAAAAATATAAATATCAATGGTGGAAATTCTTCCCTATCAAAATTTAAGTTTAACTCAATGCTAGAAAATGAATTTAACATTTATATCTGGCTCTTATTGAGCAGATCGGATTAGAATAAAGTCAACGAAATGTCAGTTGTAATTACATTGAAATAATCTTTGTACAAATTGAATTTAAAGTAAATACATTTCCATTTAGATAAAGAGTTCAATCATATGTTATACTATAGTGCTCTATCCAATAAAGAATTTATGAAGTTGGCTATGAAATTTTGATATATAAATATTTGAAATAAAAAAATTCGTTTCCATATATATATTTTTTTAGACACGGTAAATTCAAAAATTTGGCTAACAATATTTCTGTGGTTTGTTTCTACATATCCATGACAAGCAATTTTCGGTACATAAAAATTATTGATAAAGTAACAACGAATCATATTGAACAATTTTGGATGTCTGAAAAGGAGGTGTTATTAGTTGAGATGGTTGATGGTAGTAATGATTCTGATTCTTCAAAAGGTAAAAATATGCTAATAAAATTTTAAAAACTCAAGTTTTAACATTTAATGACTTTAATATGTTATGTATATTATTATACATTCGCCCTCTGTTAATGATTTATTTATACATATTACAAAAATAATCATGAATATGAAACATATCACAAATAAAAAATATGTAAAAATTCTAGAAAGTGAAAACGAGACTTCCACAGACAAAACAGTTTTAATGCCCACTGAACCAGGTGTTAGCAGACCAGTTATAATGGAAACCGAGGCTTACACTTTCACAGCATCAAACCTTTATGTTCCGATTCAGAAACCTGTATTTACCTATAAAATTGACGGAAGGAAAATAAAACTAACTTGTGGGATTGAAACAGAAGTAAGTATATCTTTATATATCTTTTATCGTACATATTTCATTTAGTTATTTATAAATTTTAATTTAATATTATTGCTTAACAAAAAAGTATGTTACACAAAATAACATGGCTAAAGCACTGGAACGCCAATATAGTGCAGTTGATGAACTTTTCATGCCTAGGTTTTTCAATATCTCAGAAGTAATTACTTCTCAACAAGAACAAATGGAAACGTCACAAAAAACGTCAGTTGCGATTAAAGAAAACTCAAACTCTAAATCAACCTTAACAAACCAAGTGAGCACAGTATTGTTTTTAACTATAAATTTTATTTTATTTTACTGAATCTTTCTGATTAATTCTTCTTTAAAGAATACTTTAGGTAATGATAGAACAATACGTGAGGATGATCACCAAAACTCATTCCAAAACCCATTTCAAAATAAAGCAACAATGAAGGAGCAATCATTGAAAAATGCCATCTTCTCGCACTACAAAACTTCTCCAGTTGATACCTCAACCGAACAATCAAACTCTAGTGAAACAGATAAGAATCTAAAATATCCATCTGGTCCACTAATGGAACATAGTACACTAAAATATTTGTATCCAGAATGTTCTAATAATGAAAAGCAAAATGAAGACATCACGTTACTATTTTCTGTGTTGGAAGGAAAATGGTATGTTGAAGGAGATGTAGCACCATTTCCGAAAGAACTAGAACCATATAATAAACCAATGAACAGCAGTTATACTCGTCTTAAAGATCTAAATACCGATTCTTATCCCACCGCTTCCGAAAACTGTGATCACAATACACGTAGAAAACAAAATGAAGTTATATCATATCCGGATTATATTCCTCAGGAACCAGGCACTACTATGTATTTTTCAGTGAAAGATAAAAAATGGTACGTATGCAGCGATTCGGATTCAGAAAATGATGATACAGAAGACAATTTCTATAATACCAGTACCACTTGTTCTAGTCACTCTAGCCATTATAACACTAATAGTGATGATAGCGTTAACCATAGTTTGCAGAGATCAAAAGAATATTATCGTACATGGTTTAGCGACAAGGGGAAGTTGGAAAATTCTCTCGAAAATAATGATTCAGATTAAGAATTTTAAAAATTCATAAAATTCATCTTATAACCTCATATATAAAAAGTTGCAAAACTGATACAGAGTCTTAGAGTCCAGATTGTGTCTAACAATCCCAATGAAAAATTAGTTTATTATGATATATTATTATGATATTATATTATAATCATATATTATTATGATTATGGGTGTGGAAAGTAATAAAAAAGAGTTAAGTGATGGCAGCATTTAAAATAAAGAAGAATAATCGATGTGGTTTTAACCGTAACTCCGTGTCTTTAAATGATTGTGGCTAAAGTGATGCAATGATAAAATATGAAAACCTTTTCAATTTTGTTTGTGATATCCGATTAATTTTCATAATTATATTTTCAGATTTAGTTAATGGCATCTTAAACTATTCATACTGCATCCTTAAATCAATGTATCAATGTGAAGTTCGTATATGGTTCCAATACAAAAGTTTAAGTTTGCGTGAAGTTAGTTGAACTGTATATGTTATATTATATATACATATATATAGATTGGGCTCCATTTATCGTATATGATATATAATTACATCAATACGTTCGTAACTTGAAAGCTGAAGGCCGATACATCAAATATGACCAACACATTATCAGAGATAATATCGGAAACAAGTCGCCGTTTTCATCATTAATGTATTCGTTCTAGTACTGTGTACTAGAACCGTTAAGAGAAAATATTTTGAGAGCAAATTCTATGTAGCGAAATTAAAAAAATAATCGAATTTAGTGACAGTAGAAGTTTTATTCCGAATATATAGATGTGCAAATCATTTGGCATTGTTAAGAATCAAAAAATTTTGTATCTGTTTTATTGAATACAATATAGATGGCTAAATATGTTTAATATTATTAGAAATATATTCTTTATTGTTTATTGTTTATTGTATTTAAAAATATTTTTCGTTTAGCAACCCAACTACAGGTAGGAAGTACCGACAGAATGTACAGTTATAACAATTACTACTCTTTATATATATAATAAATTAACTGTAAGAACAGTTTGAATAGCTTGAGTTGTCGAAACCCTAAATAATATTTAAAATTGTGATTAAATGGCTTAAGTCCAACAAAAACAATTGCAAACAAGATTTGAGAATCTTGGTTAAATTGCACTTGCCTATTAAATTAGAGGTATTAGAAGTAATAGGATTCGTGTGCAGTTATATCCTTTCATTCTTTTACATATAATAGTTTACGTAAATCACTAATAAAGTCACTGGACTTCATATTAGAATTATATATTGTTTATTTAATGACTGTTCACCTTTACTTACTGAATAAAGGGTACCATTTGCCAGCTTGCTCGTCGGAAAAAGGGTTGGATTATTAACTCCGCTATACCACTATTGAGTCGTAACAATAAAAATCGTGGCAGTTTGCTATATTAAATAAAACAAAAAAAAAATGCAGTTATGGTAATCCAAATGGATCAAAAGAATAATAAGAAACATAAAAAGAACAAAAACAGGATAAAACCTGGTCTACCAGCACCACTCCGTACTGTCTCTGTCCATGTCTGTCAGTTTGGACCTACCCACCCTCACTACCCTACTGTAATTACCATGAGCTGAAGTCAAGGTCCCTACTATTCCTTACAGCTCCCTAATTTTATTAGTCGTCCCTGTCCTGTCTAACTCATTTTCATCCTACCTAACATTGTCCCCTTTTTCACATCCACCTGTCATGATCTTAAACCATTTGGAATAAACAAAAAACCAACAAAAAGACCAATTTAGATTACAGTGATTCCATATTTAAGATATAATCAAAATAAACACAAAAATAAGAAGAAAAAATAAAAGGTGAGCTACAAATAAATAACACTAAATTTAAATAACTAACATTCTTCAAATTATTGGCATAAAAAAATATATAAAATTAGATAATAAAAAAAAAATACTCAGTAAAACTAAATGTGAAATATGTATGTATATATGCATATATAATAAAAACAAAATGTGAAAAGAAATCCAAAGGAAAAAACCAAAAAAAAAAGAGAGGAATATTACAAATTCGTCTTTCCGTTGATGACGCCATCAGCAAGAAAACCTGTAAATAAAACCGAACTCCCCTTATATTTGTACTCTTAATATAGGCATATCGGTGCTGCTTATATACAAACATATATATTACGTTTATATACTTTTCTTTTCTCTTTTAAATGTGTGTTTAGAACCAAATTTAAATTATAGATAAATATTATCTTAACTAGATTAAAATAAAAAATAAAAGAATAAAAAAATTATAATATAAGTAAATGCACACAAACTTAATTTTTTTTTACTCCTTCTGTTTCAAAAATTAATTTACTTTAATATTCACAATTCAAAAATAATAAAAATCATAAAAATTATATTATAATTAAATAAAAATACTTCAAAAAAACTTTATAAATGATATATATGTATATATTATTTATATGGGATAATGAATGTTTTTATTTGTTCGCCACTTAGCTGTTGTTGATGTTGCTGTTTTGATGCTGCTTTTTGTGCAGCTTTTAAAAATTCTGGATAATCAATTCCTGTAAATGAAGTGGTGTATCATCTATTGGTAAAATGAGATCACTTAGACCAACTAACATAATTCCTCATTAAAAGAAATATTTTCTTAAATATGTGGTTTTTTGTCCTTCAGTAGGTTGTTCTTTCCTGCCTTGTTCATGCAGTTACTGGTCCACAGACATACGAAGAGAACCAAGACAACTGTGTAGTTATTGTCTTAATTCAACGGTTATGTGGCAAGATCAGTTTAGCAATTTCTTCCCAAATTAAATAAAATTGTATGCAGCCTACATTATTCTTTTAATTTTTCTTTGATTCACTGATAAACTTGACTTTTTTTTTTGTGTTTTTGTTAACAATTTTTGTTTAATTTTTGTTTCATTTTTGTTAATAATTTATTTGTTAATAAGCACACGATGTTGCTTATTCGACTTTCACAAAAACTGACCCATGTTTTACTTTCGATAGATATTTTAACATTCTATTTGCTTAACTGTAGCGTAGTGGTTTTTTGTACTGCATGTTCCTGTGGAATGGCTGCTAGAGATAACAAAAGAAATATTTTATACTAATTTTAATACTAACAACAATTCATCATCACAAGATATCTTCTCTTGGACCGTTTTTGACGAGCGCTTGGCAAGTATTCTGGATAACAAACTTGATAACGTTGCTAAGAAAGATGATCTGCAATTATTGGGAGAAAAAATCATCTCATTAAAGTAAGAAATTATTTCACTCAAAGAAGAAATCCGCCAGTTAAAAACGCAGATTGACCATATTGACAAAGACGTGTGAATATTTTTAAAGTCTTATTGTGTGACGCAGTTATATATTCTCAGAACGAAATACACTTGGGTCGCAGGCTAGTATGATTTTATCCTTTGTATCGAAATTGAAAGGCACATATGTTTGCATTAATAGAGATCTCACAGTGGAAGAACGATCCAGAAAACAGAATCTGCGCACAGTAACAAATGAGCTTAGATCACTCGCTTTTGCTATCGACAAATCTTTCACTTAGCGAGAAAAAATTATTGCTGATACAAAAAAAAACAGGGTTTCAGTGCGATGCCAAACAAAATATAAGTAATAGTTAGCTTATGGATGCTAATCCAGCAAGAAATAGCGTGGACTACTAATTAGCAATTGCCAGTGTGTTTGGTGCTTTGTACCACCGAAGACATAGAAATCGAAGCGCTTGAATTCACCAAAACGATACAGAAAGCAGTTTGGAAATGCACTCCTCAGAGCTGTTGTGATTTTTTATGAAGAAGTACATCTCTTTTGTTATTAAACAATAGCTTTTGCGTGATTCGCAAAAACGTCAATAATTTAAATTGCATTTATTTCCAATGTATTTCCAATTTCCAGCTTGACACAATTAACAGAAAGCCAAAAATTTGCATTTCTTACCGTCAAGCTAACAAGCTGACCTTAGTTTCTGATATTGTACAAGCCACAAACGATGCAGCCTATTGTTAGGCATGCCTTATGATTGAATAGAAAACAAACCAAGAACGTTTTCCATAGTCTGAGCATTTCGACTCACAACAGAGCAAAATAAAGCTGGTATGCTTAAAGTAAACACATAAACTGCGAGAACTTATAGCACAATAACGTTGGTTAAGAAATTTTTAATAATGCAAATTAAAATTTAAAGAGATCTTTGAAAAAATTCAAATATGACTCCAGCAATTCCTACGTTGCCAGTCTAAGCATGGACCAGAATTCCGGATAATATGGAAATGCACAAAACAACTAAAACGGCCAATCCAGCATATCCCGCCAGTTAAAACATCCGATTGCAAATAGGCCAGTAGTGCATTCGAGAAATCGAACGTGTTTGTTGAAACTCTAATGAGAACTTTTTCCACAGATACAACTTATTCATTTTGACGCATCAAAACTTTGATTTGCCTAGTAATGAACAAACACTCCATGTTATACCACAAGAAGTGAAGAACATTATAAAAGGCGAATTAAAAAACAAAAATATCACCAGGCTTTCATCTTATCAATAAGAGAAGTTCTCAAGAAACTAACATACAAGCTAGACTGACATATAATAAATGGCACAGTCAAAGCCACCTTTGCAGATGACACTGCTATTCTTGCTGTAGCAAACGCAGAAATTGAATCCTCGCAGCAACTTCAAAACGCCGTTGATGAAATAGTTAGTTGGGCAAGAAGATGGAAAATTGTTTTGAATCAACTGATATGATTTAAAATCAACTGATATAAATTTTAGAATGAAAAAAGTCTTACATACATATATCAGTTAGTATAAATGGCAACTATATACCTTATTCAAAAACAGAAAAATACCTCGGAATGACTGTGAATACTAAGATAAAATGGAAAGAAAACATTAAAATTAAAAAATTCGAATTAGAAATGAAATTTCGAAACCATTAATGCCTCTTAGGGAGAAATTCACATCTGTCAATTCAATGCAAATTGACTACATACAAGAAAATCCCAGTAGAAAACGGACCGATTCGAAGACATTTCCTTACAAATTAGCTAAATGTCTTCAATGAATTTTTGCGTACATGTCTCTAAGACCATGTCTTGCATAACGGACGCATTCGATTGAAAGTTGCGCGCTCTTAGTGCAGATGTTTTTTTAATTCTTTCACCCTTTATATATTTATATGTTTTAAGAAATTGTAATTTTACGTTACAATTTACATAAAAAATTTAAAATCATGTTTTAAAATTAAAGTAAAACTAAATTACAAATTATTATAAATTATGAATGTATTTATCATTATCAAAGTTTTGCGTGTTAAGACGATTTTTAGCCTGTTTTAACGCATTCCGCAGGCCTGTTACAAAGCCGCTGAATGATATTCCATTTCTTGTTGCTTCTGTAAAACGAAAAGAATTGTTATTTTTAAAAAGCAGCTGTAAAAAAATAAAAAAAAAAATTATTTTAAAAAAAGTATTCTGTAAGTACTAGATATTGCATCCAGCAAAATTTGATACTTCTGCAAAGATGTTTTTCCTTTGACACCACCTTTGACACAAGTTTGGGACAGAATTATATTTTTACTAAAGATTGCTCCAATATTTGCATACCATTTCCCGACAAGATGTTTTCCATCAACACAGTCTACATGAAAGTATATAATATAGGTTATTATAAATGTAATATATATAGATGTATATTAAATAAAAACTAGTGTTTTATTTATCTCATTAAATGTTAATTCGCTTCACTTCAAAATTACAGCGTCACTTCACCTATAAAACATAGCGTCATCTGATGTAAAATTCAAACATTGTTCAAATTTGAACATGTATCGGCGCTCTAAT